TGCAGAGATTTTTGTGTCGGGCTATTAATAGGCCTCTATAAATCTCCCAATAAACGCAGCACTATAAATATTATAAAACGGGAGTTTCCGGCTAGTGGCTGCCTGGGCAGTAATGGGGCAGCGGCTGACCCAAAGGAGGAAGAGCGTCAGGTTCTTCTCGCTGTGTGGTCTTCATCGAACCCATCATCCTGGGCCTCACTTGCAAAGGATCTCCTGCAACTTTTGTCTTTATTTTGGTCTGGGAAAGTGGAAGCCTCCTGTGAAACTCCCAGGGCTTCAAACCTCAGCTCCTTTAGTTGATGATATTAACTAGAGCATGAGAACTGGGAAGCAAAACAGAGAGCAGAGAGTGGGCAGAATTAAAACCGTTTAGCTGGCTAAATTGGATTTCTTCTCCCCCAAGGCCCCATTGGTTCAGCTAAGCAAGGCAATTTCTTTAATAAGTGCAAGCGTTGTGTTAACAAGCCAAAAAGAGAGATATTAAAGTGTATAAAAGAGCCAGTGTAGTGTAATGGTTTTGGTGTTGGACTATGACTCGTGGCCAGGGTTCGATTCCCAGTTCAGCCACGGAAACCCACTGCTCAGCCCCAGAAAACCCCATGATAGGGTCACCATAAATTGGAAATGACTTGAAGGCACGCAACAACAACAACAACAACGACAACAACAACAACATGTATAAACAAAGCTGACCAGCATTGCTCCCAGTACAACACTTTAGTCACCCCCAAAGTGAAATGTCTCTTAACAAGGTGTAATCGTGGCTGCCAGGTAGTGAAACAACCCACTTTTTGTTTCACGCTTCACGTTGTGCCTTGAACCACAATTGTCTTGTAGGTCTGCCTCCGTGACTGAAAGGGAAGACAGAAGAGTCAGGGTGATGTAGTCATTTGAATATTCAACTAGGATTCTGGAAGATCAGGGTTCAAATCCCTGCTCATCCATGGAAACCCACTGGAGGACCCTGGGCAGATCACACTTTCTCAGCCTCAGAGGAAGGTCCTGGTGGAACATCTCCTCTAAAGAAATCTCATCTAGAAAACCCTGAGTCAGAATCAACTTGAAGGCACCTAAGTCCTCTCCTGTCAGTGGAAGGATAGCAAGAGAGGAGCCAGTCTAATCTTTTAGGAAGGATTTGCAGAACCTGGGGAAGTCAACAAGGAGGAGGCTTTTGGCATGAAAGGACAGAGAGAAGGGCCTCCCCAAATACAAGGAGGGGTTAACATGATCCTTCCCATATACTAGAACCCAAAGGGGTCACATCCCTGGAAGCTGAAGGGTAGGAAATTTGGGAAATATACAAGAATTTATTCACTTGGTGCAGACTTAAACTGTGAAACCCACTGCTTCAGGATGTAGCGGTGGCTGCCAGTTTGGATGCCTTTAAAGAGGGTCTGGGTAAGTTCATAAATAAATTGGATGAAGTCATGGAAGTTGGGACCATCAGTGGCTGCAAGTCAGGGTGGCTTTAGATTTCCTCATACATCAGAGGTTGTATGTTTCCATATATGTTTCCATATATGTTCCATGTATGTTTCCATATATTGAGCCAGTAACTGCAGGATAGAGAGCATGGTGTAGTGGTTTGAGCACTGGACTAGGATTTCAGAGATTAGGATTCAGATCCCATGGAAACCCACTGGATCAGGGGTAGGCAACCTTTCCCCTTTAAGGGCCGAGGGACTTCAGCTCCCAGAATCCCAGGAGCTATTGGCCAACATGGGACTATTGGCCAACATGGCTGAGACTTCTGGGAGCTGAAGTCCCTCGGCCCTTAAAGGGGAAAGGTTGCCTACCCCTGCACTGGATGATCCTGGGCAGGTTGCACTCTCTCAGAGGAGGGCAAAGAGAAAGGCAAATCTCTGAACAAATCTTGTCAAGGGCACCTTGTGATAGGTTTGCCTTATGGTTGCCATAAGTTGGAAATGGCTTGAAGGCACACAGCGACGACAACGACAACGACAACAACAAGGCTCCATACATCACTTTCATTGTGTTGATTGTGCTAGCGGAAGGCCATGAAAAGTGCCTGCATATACCAGTTGCTGGGGAGGATGAAGAGAGAGTACAGATGCCCTGTGCTTCAATAGATCGATATTCCATGTAATTATTGGCATTTTGATAAATGGTTCCAAAAATTACTCAGAGGTTGCATAGCTTGGTCTCTCACAGAGGGAAGAACCATAAACAATCTTATAAACTCGCAACCATGGTCTTGTTCATGTTACACAATCACAGCAGTTTGATTCGTTTTTAGCTCCCAAGTTGTATGAAATGTTGGGATTTGTAGTTTTGGGCAGGCACTAGAGCTCTCTGGCAGAGAGTTTGAACTTCCTCATGAAACTACAGATCCCAGGATTCCATAGGATGGAGCTTGGGATCAAACTGGTGTAATTGTGTAGAGTGAAGGAGGCTTGTGTGACTTTGATGGAACTAAGCTCTTCTTTCAGTTGTATCTGATTTAGGATATGCACTGCTTAAAAAATCATAAATGTGGTACAAAGCTTTTCCTCTCCTGTCCATAAATAATCTAAACTTTTCATTATAAATCCAGCATAGTTCTTCTTTGGCACTAATTTGCCCAAACCTAATTCTCTGGTCCTCTCCGGGTCAGACCTTTTCTCTAATGGCTTTTCTCCAGTGGAATTATGTTCGGAAATCTGTTCCAAAGGAGATAAAAATCGCTCCCTCTCTCTTGCTTTTCGGGAGAAGCCTAAAGGCTTATTTTTAAAGTTCCAGCCAGCTTTTCAATGACCTTAAGACTGTTTTATTCTCCTCTTGCTTTTGTTGTTATTGTTTCTGCTGCTGCTATATTTTTAGGTGCATTGGGCTTTTTCGTAAGATTTTTTTTTTAATATATAGCATTGTGAGTTGCTTTGGATGAGGTGACTCTGAGAAGTAACTGATTACTGTTGAAATAAAGCAAAAAGAAAAAGAAGACTGAGTGTGTGCAATCCAGCCTTCGGTATGGAGGAAAGGAAGGCAGGAAGAAGGAGGATCTCACAGA